GGGGCACGGGGGGAGCCCCTGGCGGGGAGGAGGCTGTCTCCGAGCCGGTCGGGCCGTTCTGGGCCTGTCGGTTCTCGGGGCCGGCCAGCGGCTGCGTGAATGTTTGTGCCGGCATAGGGGAAAAAGGCAGGAAAGAGTGAAGCTTAAAAATGAGGGGAGGGCGGCTTGTACTGGAGCCAGCCGGTGTTTGGAGTATGGCACGGGTTAATTTTCGCATGCTTGCATGCGTTTGAAAGTAGTAGTTACAATGCTTTGCCGGGTCTCTTCAGTAACTTTATTTTCTGCCGCTGAAGAGAGTAAAACCAGTGCCCGTGTGAAGTCAGCCGGGCCTTTGTGGTTTGAGTACAGTCAAGTCCCGATTTCGGCCTGAATGTTATTTTACAGGTGTCTTAAATACATTACCGAGCTCATCAAGACTGATTCCCATCTGCTTGTATGTTTCAGTGCATTGTATTATAAATGTATAAAAATGTATTATTTATAATAAAACGTATGAAAAAGAGAGTATTCAGTTTCAGGACTGTGTAAGGAGTGTTTCAATCCATGCTGATTTTTAAAAAGTTAAATATGTTACAACGGAAGAAGGTGTGCGTGTTAATATGGTGTAGAGACTAAAGAAGGAGAAAATGAAATGTCAGTAAAAGTGGGTTGCTCTTTAGAAAGTTTCAAGTTTGTCACAGTAAGTTTTCTTAAGGAAAGCTCATTTTGGTTAGTGCTATTTAGGCCCTCTCAACAGTGAATGGAAAGTAGTATGCTAGCCTCCATTTATGATTGTTTAATTTTTTTTTTGTTTCTTTATATTGGCTTTAAAACCTGACATGAAATAATTTCAGAATGTTTCTGTTTCCATCCCAATATAGATTGTGGGGTGACCATGGACAAGAAGCTTTAGAATCTGCCCATGTTTGTGTAATAAACGCAACGGCGACAGGAACTGAAATACTCAAAAACTTAGTGCTACCAGGTGAGTACATCTGTCTTCTGTATTTTCTTTGTAATGTATCTGATAGTTTCATAATGCCTAGTTATTCATAGTAAATTTTTTTCCCCCAAGGTATTGGTTCATTTACAATTGTCGATGGGAATCGGGTCTCTGGAGAAGATGTTGGAAATAAGTAGGTTTGTTACTAGTTTCCGATACAAATTGAGAAATAATGGGTTTCATAAGTAGTTCCATCTCTATACTTGTTAAGAAATCCTCTAAAATTCTTAATAATTTTAAAAGCCTCTATATGTTTCTTCAAGTCTTTTGTGGTTTTGGGTGTTTGTGACATACACAGCGTGCACAATCATTTTGATATTAGCTGCTAAATTTTACATAGTCTTTTTAGTTGCTGTTTCTGTATCTTACAGGCCTTTTTGCTTCATGCATCAAGTTTATAAAGACAATAGTCTACTCAGTATAAAAATACGTAAAAATAACTTGTTTGCTGTAATCTTGAGATATGACAGTGCAAGATTTGCTTGTGTTTTAGCATGGCTAAATATATTTTCTGTAATTTTGGTGATGAAAATAACTCAATTTTTGTTAATTTATCATTGTGGAACTGTGACTGGTAGCCATTTATTAGCTTTCATAGCTTTGAAAGGCTGAGCGCAGCAGGGGAAAGGATAAGAAACTCTTTACAAATACTGTAAAAAATAATTTGTTTACTAATTCGAGATCACATTTTCTTATGGTTCAGGTAGATACCTACAAATATCTGTCTACTTAAAGGGGTTATATAAGGGCGAAAGATATTCCATTACATGAAGAAATGAGTACTAATGGGACTTTAATTAGCCTAGTGAAAAAGAATCTGCAGTGTGATCCTGGCTTCTAGATGAGTTTGGCCTGTCTTATTTTTCAGATTTGTGGCTCAGGCATTGGAAAGTTTCCTTCAGAAACTGATCATGAGGAAAATTATAACAGTGGTGGGGAGAAGAAAAGCAGATTTAAGGGGGAACTTGGTTTGTTGTTTATGAGAGTCAGCAACATATTCTGCACTACAAAATGTAGCTTTGATGTTGTTTTTCTTCAAAATAAAACTTCACATGTAACTCTTTTCCTTGTCTCCTTTTCAGTTTCTTTCTACAAAAAAGCCATATTGGTCAGGTAAGGAGATAAAAAATGGCACTTTAGGTGTATTGAAAGCATGAAAGTGTTGAGTAAATACTCAAATGTAGTATTATGAGTAATGCTAAAAACTTGTATGCATAGGTTAAAATCTCATTATTCTTTGGCAAAATTCCCCATGCTTATTTTTTAGTTGCTTGTAAGTGAGAAGAGAAGTTCAATTCTGGCAAGATTGAATGGAAAAAATGAACAGGATATAGTTAAGAAAATCTTTGGAAGGATAAGGTGGAAGAGAATTGTGGCTGAAGGAGTAAAGCTAAGAGTAGAGACATGGATGGGGGGAATCACAAAAACAAGAGAGTACAAAAGGCATAGGTAACTCCTTGAAATTAATAAACTGCTGTCACATGATTCTTGTTTTAAAAATTACATCACTAAAAATGGTCTCAAACAAGTGCCTGCTGTTAAGGGATTTATTTTTCTCCAGATAAGCAAGGCTTGGAATAAGAAATCCTAGCTTATGATGAAGTCCTTTTTTTTTCTTTTTTTTTTTTTTCCTTTTTTAAGCATGTAGCATATGTAGTGCTGATACACTATATAAATTACATTTCAAGAGGTTAAACATTGTTTTGATTGTTCCAAAACAGAATCGTGCCCAGAGTGCCACTGAGCTCCTGCAAGAATTGAATAGTGATGTTTCTGGAAACTTTGTTGAAGAGGTTTGTCGTCCTAAATTAGTTGTACATTTCTTGTTACGCAATGTGATAAAAGTATGAAATAATAGCTATATGTTGTCTTTGTAATGTTGCAGTTTGAGTAGCTTCATGATAAAATGACATTTGAGGAAGAAGATCTAAACTTATTTGCAAAAAGTCAATTTATGTATTTTAAACATTATTTTATAACTTCATGATAATTTTATAGCTTTCACTTAACACTTTACAGTGGATATTGAACAGACTTGCTGTGTATTCAGAAGTTTTCACAGTGTTTCCTGACGTTTTTTTTTTTCCTACTATTTAGAGTCCAGAAAAACTTCTAGACAATGACCCTTCCTTTTTTAATCGGTTTAACTTGGTGGTTGCAACGCAACTACCAGAAAGGTAAAGAATCATCTAAAGTTGTTTGTTTGTTTTCATTTTGTAAAAGCATGTTTCAACTGCAGGCATATTCTTGCAGGAAAACTTATGCAAAACAGAACTGTCATTGTGAAGGAAGGTTACAGTAAATGATGGCATTTTACTATGGACCTGATTATATATTAATACATAGTTTAAAATCTCTTTCAGATCCATGCCTGACTCCTAAGTGCTGTCTCCAGGTGTATTTGTCTGTGTCAAGTACCCTTTTGTAGTGATAGTTGTTCCTGGTCCAGAATCACTGTAACAAGTATTCTTCGGTCTGTGATACCTTTAGATTTTTGCAAATGTATTTTATCCTTTATATAGCTCTTTCCATTTTACCCATTGATGTAATTGTATTGCCCATATAAACTTTGTCAGGACCAGAAGTTCTTGATTATTTTTTTTTAACCTCTTCCTGCTGAGAGGCCTCTTGGATGCTGTGTTCCAGTAAATAGTACAGATGAAAAATGTCAACTCTCAGAGTATTGAGAAACTTGGGGAAGAGCATGCTTCTGTTTCAGTAGACAAGCTGCTTCCCCAGAGGCAAGAGGTTGCTGGATAGAGGAATAGTTAAAACTTGCTTTTGTAAGGAAGTGGCTGTTGTTCATACTTTATATATTTTCTCCCTCCCCCTACTTACAGAGGAGCTAGAGATACAGTCTTTTGCAGAAATAAGAGCCAACTTGCCTTTTTGAAGTGGTGATTGCCTTGCAGGCATTTGTGAATAAAGAGAATTTCTTACATGCTATTCAAAAACCTCTGACTGGAATTGCCCCTACAGATCTAATTCTTTTTTCTTTCTTTCACAACTCATTGAAGTTTTTTGTTTAATTGATATTTGGAGCATTTGGGAGGATGGAGTTAAATAGAAGTAAGCTAATGGATAAATCTATTTCTAATCTAGTGTAAATTCATGTATAAAATTAATCACCTTATATGTGCTTAGAATCATAATACTAGACTTCTCTCATAGAAAACTTCCCTTTCACAAGTGACTTGTACAAGAGTTAACTTTATAGTTTAGTTAACTGTTGTCCTCTTGTACATCTGAAAAAAAATTAAATGTTTTCCCTTACAGTACGTTGCTGCGCTTGGCTGAACTTCTCTGGAATTCTAATGTTCCTCTGCTGGTCTGCAGGACTTATGGACTGGTTGGTTATATGAGAGTCATTATTAAAGAACATACAGGTTAGAGGGTTTTCTGAGATAAAGACCTTTCTAAAACATTTAAAGCTTCAGTATATAATGTCACTTTGATTTTTATTTATTTACTTGTTTTAATCTGGTGATGTATTTCGTATTTGTTAAGTCTTAACATAGTTTGCAGTTCATCACCAGGAGCATTCTCTGAGGAATCTGTAGAAATTATGGACTGCAACAAATAGTAAAATTGGAGATTATCCTGACTTTAAAGCTGACTTACACAAAACACTAATTTTGAGAATTAAGCAGTTAATTGAGCAGGTGATGCACTGCATTTGATGTATAGCTCTGTTTTGAAGGCCGGACATAAAACTGTGAAATGCATTGTGTAATTTTTTTCCCACAGTTGTTGAATCTCATCCTGACAATATGTTAGAAGATCTGAGACTGGACAAACCGTTTCCAGAGCTGAGGGAACATGTTCAGTCTTATGACTTGGATCATATGGACAAAAAGGTTGGTATGTGGTTTGCGCTATGTGCTCTAAGACGGAAGCAGACATAGAACAGGGATTCTATGAAAATTACTCTTGGCAGATGACTTTTTTGGTGCCAAGTCTCATCTGAGCAGAGGCAACTGTAGAATCAGTCATGAGGTACTATTTTTGGCCTCTGCCCCAAATGTTACAGTCTGTATTTAAATCTTAAGCAAGTGGGGGTCTTGAGGTAAGGAATATTCTTGGATGACTTGATCTTTTGTTAGATTGATTCCCTCTAACCCCCCACCCCACCCCTCCTTTTTTTTTTTTTATGATTACCTACTGCTGCAGAGTTTTGCAGTGTGGATATTTGTGCATAACTTAGGTTCTGCTCCAGAAAAACATTGGAGAACTTGGCTCAGCCACCCTTCTTTTAGTAAAGGAATAATAATTTAATGATTTGTTTTATAGTAGTTAGTGAATATTATTTCTGAATCAAAATCTGGAACATGTCCTGTGTTTTTACAACAGTGGAAAGGATGTTAGCAGTTTACATTTTTAAAATAGGTTTTTAATTTGTCTCCCGTTTTTATTTTTTCACAACTTGACAAAGATTTCTCTTCTGTTCAATTACAGGACCATAGCCACACTCCATGGATTGTGATTGTAGCCAAGTATCTAACAAAATGGTTCAACGAGGTATATTCCAAACTGACTAAGTCATCAGTCTGTTGTTATTATTATTACTTTAGATATGTCTTTTCTAAACTAGATTATTATTTTGGCAGTGTAAGAAAGAAAACAAGGTGGAATCATTAAAAAAAATTACTAATTGAAATACAAGTGAATGTATGTGAACAATGACAAATTCTAGAGTTCAGCAGTCTGAACACAATGAGGTTAGTAGTAGATATTTTAAAGACAAAATGTTTTTGTGTTTTTAAATTTAGAAAAGTGATCAGTTGCCCAAGAGTTACAAAGAAAAAGAAGCCTTCAGACAACTGATTCGGCAAGGTAATATATGTCCTAGGAGTCATTTATTCATACTGGCAGAAACATATAAGGCAATGTCTGGAAAATAATCAGAAGTTCTCTCGGCATTTATTTATGAAAATCTGCGACCATATACAGTACAGTTCCTCTGCTAAGTCATTGTTTTATACAGCTGGATCTTAAGATCCCAGATTTGCTTATAAATGCAGTTTGGCAGTTTCTTACTGTTTGCTGTTTAAGATCAAGAATATGTTTTGATTTGGGTGTGAGGAGAGGCCTTAAGAGAAAATCCTGTGGAAAATGTTTATTTAATACGGAAAATGTGGCAAAGCAGAAAGCAAGTGATTGAAAACTGCAAGTATTTGGTTGGTCAGTTGACCCACCAAACTGTTGTTAATCATTGCAGCTCTAAGTAACTAGTTTAGAGAGAAAGATTATGTATCTATTGAATACACCATAACCAGTATGTGAACAGACTTCATTTTTGCAGATGCTTCAATCTAATACCTTTTGCGGGTGCTGAAATTGAGGCGTTTTTAAGATCTAGAAATACATCATCTTAAATGATTGTAGAATAAAAACATTAACTGGATTTTTGGCATTTCCTCATTTAAAGCTGGCCTGTGTGCAAATCGCTGAGTGATTGTGTCATCCCCAGGTTGGGCTACAGAACTGATCTGATCTGTAGTAATTAGCTTTGGTTAAGCTAGGTTTTTAGCAGAGTCCATTTCTTGGCCTAGCTTGCTGTGTGGGTTCATAAGTGTTTGCCAAATCTGACGAAAAAACAACACAGCATGACTGGGGATGGGAAGGAGAGTTGAATTGTGTATTTACCACCATCTACATTAATTTAGTGATTATAAAACTTTACTCTCTTTCTCACACAAATAAACTGGTATTTTTGTGATGAATAACTTCTGTTTAAGCATCACGGGAAAATTCATCATATGCAGAATGTGTATGTAGTTAGTTTTATCAGTAGGTCTTACTGGTAATTCAGTTTTTTGCTGATTAGTTATTATGCCACAAATACATCCAAAGCCAGTCTGCTCTATTGGTAAGATGTAAATGATGAGATGTAATTCAGAGGATTGTGTATTTTTAATTTTTTTTTAATAAGGTATTTTAAAGAATGAAAATGGGACCCCAGAAGATGAGGAAAACTTTGAAGAAGCTATAAAAAATGTGAACACAGCATTAAATACCACAGAGGTAAAATGAAGTTTCTTCAGTTTTGTCATATAAATGTTTAACTACCTCATTTTTTTTCAAAACATACTATGCACTTTTAGGACAGGAATTCCATTTGCAACATTTATATTTAGGTTAAACAGGATTAGTTCAATTTTTAGAGTTGAAATCATGTAGTAAAATAGACCTAGACTAGATGGCACTGTAACTTATGGAAATTCTTATTTCCTTGCTCATGCAAGGAAGCTACATTTCCTTCCTGAAGACTTGAATTCAAGTATAGAATGACTCAGTAACCAGGGTTCATTAGTAGTGTATTCCTGTCTTAGACTTTATCAGATTTTCTTTGACAGATTGAACTGTAAAGTGCTTGGTACAATTATAAAGAATGAGCAGTCACTAGTATGGATGATGTCCGATTTAAATACATTGCTAGGAGAGAGACTCAGCATTTATTGAAGTTGTGCTATATTGAAGCTGCTTGCTATAGTATTTATTCTGTATAGAAATTAAATGCTGCAAGGGACTTTTGACTCGGCAAATTCAGTGCTTTCCTCTTGAAGAAACACGTTATGAAATTCCTTTCATAGACTGATCAAGCTTAAAAACATTAAAAGTGAAGTTTTCATTGTTTTTAAATAATCCTGAAGTAGTAACTCACGGTTTAGAATTGACCTCTGATTTTCTTAATCTCTTATCCATGGTAAATTGCAAAAGCTACATTCCATTTTTATTTGAACTGTGCTGATCCTTGCTCGGACAGTCACGTTAAATCTCCGAAGAACGCAGCAGGTAAAACTTAGTGCTTACATCTGAGCCACTACAAGCCGTGTCCTAGGCTATTAGTGATTTATTTCAGTTTATGAGCCAGACAGAACTGCAGCAGTTGATGAGTCAAAACACTCACTTTTGCAGCCCCTCTTCACCTCCCCAGCCTTTTTGCTCCTCTGCCTCTGGCAGGTAGGATGGACAGCTGGGACCGGTAGTACCTTTTGCTGATGCAAGTTTTTTTTAAGTCTTCCATGTAGAAGATGGAAATAAGGTGAGATTTTGTTAGTAACATTCATCTTGATCAGAAACATGTGCCTTGTTCTCAGGCAGGGCTAATGTTTGAAATATGAGAAGCACTGACTATGTATGATTCAGAAGAGATTTTGGTATGAAACTCAGGTCGCTTAGAGTTGGCTCCCTTATGTAACGAGTGTTGAGATCAAGAAATCAAAAGTCAAGTAAATATAAACCCAGTTTATTTTTTTTGTAGATTCCAAGATGCATTGAAGAGATTTTTAATGATGATTGCTGCATAAATCTCACAGAGCAGGTAACAAGTAATTAAAGGTAAGGCTTAAATGTAGGAAAAGCATTATAAATAACATTTGTGTACATGACTGTCTCTTGTGCATTTGCAGTCACCCTCCTTCTGGATTTTGGCTCGAGCTGTAAAGGAGTTTGTGGCAAATGAGGGGCAAGGAAGCTTGCCTGTCCGGGGCACTATTCCTGATATGATAGCAGACTCCAATAAATTTATCAAATTGCAAAATGTGTAAGTCTACAATTTTTTCTTTAATAGTTACTAATGATAGTAAATGGTGTTGACTTCAGACCTCACAAAGTGCATGAATTGCTGTATTTAAAAAAAAAAAAAAAAGTGTGTATGTGGGACTGGGGTGGGGAGGGGTGTGGGAAGCATGGCAGCCTGGGACTATCTGATCCCTGTATAGATGCTATCTGTTGTTTGGAACCGGTGCCTAAGCCTTCAGTGCATCCCAGTTTCCTGAGGCTGGGTAGCGAGTGATTACTTTTCTTAGTTTCAGATCTAGTAAAGACCTTACTATAGATAGTAGATCCCATAGCCCAGCTACTGCTGTCCAAAGCAAATTGTTGCCTAAACATGGCATTTGGTTTTTCTCCTCAATATATATGTCAACTTGGTTACAGAAATTCTGGTTTCCTAGATATTTAATTCTAAATACTTAATTCTAATTAATGCCCTTTGAAGGGATTGCTTGGTGGATAAGGAAAGGTGTGAATAAACATTAACTGCAAATTCTAAACAGCATCAGTGTGGATTGAGATTTTAGGAAAGCCATCTTTGAATGCATGTATCCTCAACATGAATGTACTATTCCTGTGCATCCTGGACATGATGCAAATTGTTGGGCCAAAAAGACTTTCTTAGTGTTACCACATTTTCTTTGCAGTTGATTGCTTCTTCCTCCCTTTTTTTTTAATCTTTAAAATGAAGCAGCATCTTGCAGAAGACTTAAATTTATTGTCTGTGCAATTGTATTGTTGAATTGTTCAAACAGGAAAGTATTCTTTCTAATAGATTTTGATTTTCTCCATAGATTCTGAAACACAGCCTCTGCTAGAAAAATTGTGTGCCTTAATTAGTGTTTACTAATCAAAATGAAATCTGTAATTTTAGAAGTGCATTCCTCAGATCTGTGACAATAGCATTAAAAAGATGGATATAAAAGTACGAATCTGTTACATGTCTAAAATAATTGATTGCTATTGCTTTATGGAACTTACTTTGTATAATGACAGTAAAGCCAAGAACTTGTACCATTATTTTGCTAAATGAAACCATAATTGCTTGAATTTGCAGAGATACCCTAATTTGTAAGTCTGATTTCTATAAGCATCAGTCCTGAATTGCCAGATCATTATATACTTCAGTTCTCAATTCCAATAAGCATTATAGGGTTTTAATTTGCAGATAAAACAATTACAGTTCCTTAAAATGAGCTCTTAAATTGAATTTTATTAAATACTGTGTTGTTGAGATGTTTGCATTGTCATAGGTCTTAATGGAACTAATATACTATGGCTACAAATTTTAAAATACAGAAATTAATGAAATATTAGAAGCCCAATGAAGGACATATAGCTGTTGTTCTGAAACTACTTAATATTCTTCTTCTGACTGTTTGTAGTACTATTCATTTTAATTTTAACTGGTTTCTAAGCCACAGATTTAGTGAACAGCTCAGCCATGCCAAACAGTCATGCAGGGAGTCTGTAAGCGCATTCATGGCCTTGAGATAGCTCACTTCCATTAATGTGGCTTGTATTTTGTCTTTATAATATGAAACAAAAAGCAGTGGTCTTAACTGTGAAGTTGGCTTTATGCTATGATTATTAAGACTTCTTTATTATTAACAGGTACCGTGAAAAAGCAAAGAAGGATATTGCTGCTGTGGGTAACCATGCTGCTAAATTGTTACAATCCCTAGGCAAGGTAATTGCAAATGTACAGTCATTCTGACAAGATAGAAATATTTTTACCCTGACATTCTGTATGGAAATAACTCACAGGAGACAGATATGAAAAGAGAAGGCTTAATTACCTCATTCTCTTCAAAAGGCTTAAGAAAATTCTAATGAAATTTAGTATGTGTAGTCTGTTTTATTTATCACTTGGTTTGGTCATGTAAAAGTAAAAGGCATACAGGGATATATTATTTACAATTTAAGATACTTTTTTTTTTTTACAAGAACAACTAGTTATTTCACAATGAATATATGAGTATCTCTGAAAATACAAATTCTCTGGTCATTGTATGTACTGGAATGAGTATATTCTTTCTTTTAGGCACCCGAATCTATTTCAGAGAGAGAATTAAAATTGCTTTGTGAGTATGGTTGGATTCTGTTGCTGTGTTTATGCAAATGATCAAATAATCAAAAACTGTTGAATGATAATGTAGTTATTAATCAGTAACTCAATATTTGTATTTTTCAAGTAAGTGCTTAGCAGTTGCATCTCTCATCTTCAGTAGAAGTAACAGATGTTCAGCATCTCTCAATAGTGAGTTTATAAAGCTTGGCTTTTAAAAGATGGTATTTTTTCAGGTCCAAAGAACAGGTAGCATATGTCCTCTACTTTCTGTGATTAGTACTTAATCACCCTTGCCCATTCTGTGATACTGACTTCAGAGTGCAGGCTCTGTAAACTTCTGGTAGTCTGAAAAGGTAAAACAGTGATGCAGTGAGTAGTACTGTTGATGGCATTTTTGGTTGTGTCTGTTCTTGGTGTGTATACGTGTCCACATAGCAGCCTGGCTAAGTCTCCTGCAACCGGAAAATTTTCCTGTAAGCATGTATCTAAGAGCACACTTCCCCTGTGTCAATATAGAGTTTGCTGGGAGCTTTGAGAACCTCACAGTTCCTCATTTTTGAGTGCTAGGTAGTAGCTACACATTGGGTTGTTTCATAACAGCAATACTGGAGAAGAACCTTTTCCCGCTCATAGCTATACTGTTAGAATATTAATTGAGGATATGCAAGACAGTGGTAGGTGGAGTGGAAGATGAAAAGAACCTGTGTTCATTTGCAACATGGGAGAGGAAAACATGAAGTTGATGGCTGTGACTGATGAATTGGTATAGAAGAGCTACATGTGTTGTGAGCTGTTACATTAACATGGCAGATATGTTTAGATTCTAGAAGTAAATAAGCATGAGGTATTTCACTAAAATACTTGTGATCATAGACCTAAATGTAGTTCAGTAGATTTTATTACTGCAAGCTACTGGAAGAAACAGAAAAGTGTTTGTGAAATTATGATAAGTTTTAATCTTTCATGTTTAACACAATAGAGATACAGACTTACAAAGATACAGTAATTGGTGATGCATTCAAGTAGGTCTTATGCTCTCCTTTCTGCCCCCTCTGCTTAGGCAGCAACTCAGCTTTCCTCCGAGTAGTACGATGTAGATCTCTGTCTGAAGAATATGGTTTAAACACTTTTAACAAGGATGAAATCAGTAAGTACTTCTTTTTGGCACATACTTTAATTGCATTTTCAATGGGAAATGGTTTTGTGATCAAAAAGAAGTGTATGTTACACCTTCATTATGCAGTTTAATAATTTGGCGTCAACTATGCAGTTTAATAATTTGGCGTCAACTAGAAGTATGGGGGTTTTTTAAGTCTAGACTGTTGAATTCAATTTGATTTTGAAAGTTCAAAAGTGACCTTATAGATTGGTGCATATTTCAGGGTTTTTTTTCTTGCAGATGTTATTTTTGATAGTACATAAATAAAACATAGCTTTCTTCAAATTTCTCCTTTCTGTACCTCAATTATTTCTGACAGAACTGGAAAGGTGCCTTCACCTGACCAAAGATATGAGAATAATTGTCTTGGCCCCTCTCAGCTTATCTTTTCAGTATGTGAACTAGCAAACTAGTTATTTAATATTGCGTTTTATTTTTTTGAACTGCATAAGTTAAAAGGGGTAAAAAAAAGTTGGAAATACTTTTAATCAAAGTTTGTTTAAATTAAGCTTATACAAGTCTTCTGAATGTTTTGGACAAAAAGTATATACAAAGTGAAAACATTTTGTGTATACATATGTAATATTTATAATTTAAGTGAAAGCTCGTTGAATTAGTTGGTAATATGCAATGTGATTGAAGTAGTAGTTAGTATTTAGAAGGACTACTGAGCTGTAAAAGGATTTAAGACCTGTTTTATAGTTGGTCATTACAGTTAAATATGGAGCATGCGTTTCAAATCACAAAATTATAACTAAGGAATATCCCGTTTAATGTTATAGCAGCGGTCACAGTTGAAACTTGAGTATCTTCACTGAACAGTTTATATCAAATACATACAATATGTTTTTGTCATACACTCTGGTGTCAAAATTGTGTATCTGACAGTTGACTAATTGAGATTCTCAGTTGCAGGTTGTTTTCATTAATATTCCTTTTTACTGCACATTTTACAGTTTAAGCACATGAGAAATAACTTGATTTCAATTAATTCAGAACCTTTCTTTTTCCATTTCACCTGTACCAGCTAACCAGTTCTCTTACTGTTTTCAGTTTCCTATATGGACAACCCAGACAGTGAAGTAGTGCTGTACTTGATGCTACGGGCTGTAGACAGATTTTATAAGCAGCATGGTAGATACCCAGGTATGTTAATACAAGAGTTACTTAATGTCATCAAAAGAAATACAAAGATCCAATAGTTACTATAATACTAGTTATAAACTACAAATATAGCATTAGTTGTAGTTAGTTTTCATATTAATACAACTTTAAGAATGTGAAAATTCAAGTGAGAATTTTTTCTCTTTGGAAACTTAAGGATTGATATCTGAATTGATACCACTGAAATGGGTTGCATGGATTATGAATCAGTTCAGCTGTGCAGTAATTTGTCATTATCAGGAGTGGCATCAACAGAATATTCAATTATTATTAGTCTAGTATTAATAATTTAATATATTAATTGGCTTAGAAACTTTTCAGAAAAGTAAAATACTTACACTGCCATTTGAACCCATTAACTTTGGTGTTAAGTTCTGTGGTGAAACAGGTTAACTTAATTTTCCAGGTGTCTACAACTATCAGGTAGAAGATGATATTGGAAAACTAAAATCATGCCTTACTGGTTTCTTACAAGAACATGGGTTGTCTGTAGTGGTGAAAGATGACTATGTTCATGAGTTGTAAGTATTGTATCTTAAGCATCACTTTGTCTGTAAAACTGACCTGAAAATACTGACTGTTACTTTGCTATCCAGTTGCCGCTATGGAGCTGCTGAGCCACATGCTATCGCTGCCTTCATGGGAGGTAAGAATATCACTGTATTTCTAAGGTCCATGCAAACAAACCAACCTGCTCTAGTGCATACTTGTGTCAAAATCTCCACTGCTTTAATTACTTTGTATTGTCAGAGCAAAGACCCATCACAGACTGTAGTCAAAGATACTATTAGAACAAAATCCTTCCCCTTAATTCTCCAGATATGACCTCCTGTGGTATATAGAAAAAGTGGACACAATAAGGGGTTTAGAGTCAGTAAAAGAAAGCAAATAAACTTAAAAAATAATCTCAGTAGATCAATTCTAGTAGCTTAAAAGTGTGTTTAAAAATAAAATGCTTGAAAGAGGCTTTGAGTTAAAAAGAAAAGGGCAAGGAATAATTGTAGTAACATTAAAATTAACACAGTACACACCTTCCTTTAAAATAACACAATACACTTAAGTATCTATTAAATATAAATAGCCTTGATTGCTTAATTCAACCTGTGGGCATTATTAAAACTAAATATATGTTTTAATGGATGCTCAAAATTGATGTATCAATTCACTTATCTTTATTTGGCTTCATGCGGTGCTGAAGATAATTGTATTAAATACTCTGTGGATGTAGGATTTTTTTTCTGATTAAGTGAACCTTGGTATTTGCAGTGCTTTAGAAAAATATGTAAAGACATCTTCTTAAGAAATTACAGAATATTTCATACTACAGAAGAACACAAAGGGATCATAGTGAAGTGACCAATTTATTTTACAGTTTAACTGTATGTGATTTTTTTAAAATTTAACTTCTCAATTTCATTTAGAGAGGTCACAACTTGCATGGGTCTGTCTGCTCACGCATTTTTACTCTGTGTGTGTGTGTACGTACATGGAGAGAGAGAGAGAAAGCGTATACAGCAAAGTGTATACTAGGAAGTACTGAAAGGCATCTTTTCCTCCTAGGAGTTGTATCAGGTGCTTCCAAAATAATTCCTGTGTAGTGAGTTCTAGATAAATAGCATTCTTTTACTGGTTTTTAAGTATGACCTGCTAACTACCTTCTGTTTTACCTTTTTTTTTTTTTCTTTTACAGGAGCTGCTGCACAGGAGGTTATCAAAGTCATTACAGGGCAGTTTGTAATTTTTAATAACACCTATATTTACAGTGGAATGTCACAGACTTCAGCAACTTTCCAGCTGTAAGATAACGATCTCGCATTTGTTGCCACCAGGCGCTGCCACTGTGTCCTGTAAATACTGTGGTGGTCTGCCACTGACTGGACTGTTCTGTATTACCTGCAAGTTAAAGTTATTTTATTTGTAACGATTTTATCTTTTTTTTTTTTTTCCTGAGGACAAATAAAATCATACCAAATACTGAAAAAATATTTTTAATCTAGAATTTTGTGTTTCACCTTTGAAAGAGAAAAGCAGCAGCTGTTCTTTGGCATGGTAAGTTGCATTTACAGATTGGCTTACCTGGTTTGCAGCAGAGCTGGATTTTTTTAATAAAAGCTGCTCTTCAGACCGAGGGGGGGAGGACTTCCAACAGGTTCAAAAAGGCTAACGTAACTACGATGGTGTATCTAACTGTGAGAAGAGCTAGGGAAAGCTGTAATACTTCTTATTGATTTCAGCGACATCAGGGAAAGGGACTGTGTGCCTGAAAGCCTGGTTCTTTCAGCTGTATTCATCTAGTGAAAGATTCTTTTTCCTGCGCCCTTTGTGTCTGGCAAATGTCAGATGAGGGCTAACGGCGCTTTGTGGCGTTGTTGCGGTTTCCAAAACGCAGAGTATGGAAACCGAGCTGCGTTGAAACCCGAGTGATTTCCCCCTAGCCTAGGCCTGGAGCCACGCTAAGGCTGGCACAGCGCTGGGAGAAGGTTAGCAGGGCTCTATCTCCTGGTGCCCGAGAGGGGCCGCGGCTGGCGG